TTTGTAAAGAGAAAATAAAACGGCACTAGAAATTTTGTTGCCCGTTAGACATCATTAAAAGACAAATGGCAATTATTCATGTAAAGATGAAAATGTCTTAAATCTTTATATATGAGTGACACATTTCGGAGAATGATGCAAATAAATAACTCCTTTAAAACAGAGGATAAGATCAGATCAACTTAGTTATTTAACACTTGCTGGCCACACAGGTGTTACTTTTTATTCCACATGTAGTAAATATTATAGTAACTTTTATTTGTTAAAAGCTAGATTTTTTTTTTTAAATTTTACCGTAGCTATCAACATGTAAGAAAAATATCAGATTGATAAAAAAATGTATCTAGATTTTATTTACTTGAAGTTTTAGAGCTACCTGCATTTAATTTGCTTCAACACTGTCTCAATATTAACTTTTATTGTGCAGAAATTGGTATACTTCAGTCAAAGTATGTTCTTATGGTATTATGCTACCTCTCAGTACCTACTCTATGCTACTACCCTTTATACTAAGTATTGGCAAGCAGTGTTTACACTGTTCTCACACACACACACACACACACACACACACACACACACACACACACACACATGCACACACGTACACACACACGTGCACACACACGTGCACACACGTGCACACACACACACACATGCACACACGTACACACACACGTGCACACACACGTGCACACACACGTGCACACACACACGTGCGCACACACAACGTGCGCACACACACATGCACACACACTCATGCACACACACTCATGCACACACACTCATGCACACACACCTCATGCACACACACACATGCACACACACACATGCACACACACACATGCACACACACACATGCACACACACACATGCACACACACACATGCGCACACACACCCCATGCACACACACAATGCACACACACACACATGCACACACACACATGCGCACACACACACACATGCACACACACACATGCACACACACACATGCACACACACACATGCACACACACACATGCACACACACACATGCCCCACACACACATGCACCCCACATCAATCCACAGTGTTGGAAAGGAAACTGAAGGTATGGTACACAAACGCTGATGGAATAACAAATAAGTGGGAGGAGTGGCACGAAAGGGTCAAAGAAGCATCACCGGACATCATAGCTCTCACAGAAACCAAGCTTACAGGTATGATAACAGATGCCATCTTTCCAACGGGATACCAAATCCTGAGGAAAGACAGAGGGAACAGGGGGGGTGGAGGAGTGGCGTTGCTGATCAAAAATCGCTGGAATTTTGATGAGCTGGAGAGAGAAGATAGCGGAGAAGAAAGTGATTACATAGTGGGAACACTTCACTCTGGAGGTCCCAAGGTGGTAATAGCAGTGATGTATAACCCACCACAGAACAGCAGGAGGCCAAGGCAAGAGTACGACGAGAAGCAATAGAGCGATGGTTGACACACTAGCTAGAGTGGCCAGAAGAGCTCCATGCATGCAGGGCAAAGCTCCTGATCATGGGTGACTTTAACCACAAGGAGATAGATGGGGAGAAACTTGGACCCACATGGGGGCCAAGATACTTGGAGGGCTAAGATGATGGAGGTGGTACTGGAGAACTTCATGTACCAACACGTAAGGACACTACAAGAGAGAGAGGAGAGGATGAACCAGCAAGGCTGGACTTAGTATTCACCTTCAGTAGTGCAGATATCGAGGACATCACATATGAAAGACCCCTTGGGGCCAGTGACCATGTGGTTGTAAGCTTCGAATACACAGTAGAGCTACAAGTGGAGGGAGAAGCAGGAAGGCCAGGACGAATGAAGCCAAACTACAAGAAAGGGGACTACACAGGAATGAGGAACTACCTGAACGGGGTTTCAGTGGGACAGAGAACTGGCAGGGAAACCAGTTAATGAGATGATGGAATATGTAGCAATAAAATGCAAGGAGGCTGAGGAGAGGTTTGTACCCAAGGGTAACAGGAGTAATGAAAAAGCCAGGATGAGCCCATGGTTTACCCAAAGGTGCAGGGAGGCAAAAACCAAGTGTGCTAGGGAATGGAAGAAATATAGAAGGCAAAGGACCCAGGAGAATAAGGAGAACAGTCGTAGAGCCAGAAATGAATATGCACAGATAAGAAGGGAGGCCCAAAGACAATATGAAAATGACATAGCAGCGAAAGCCAAATCTGACCCGAAAACTGTTGTACAGCCACATCAGGAGGAAAACAACAGTCAAGGACCAGGTAATCAGCTAAGGAAGGAAGGAGGAGAGACAACAGGAAATGACCGGGAAGTATGTAAAGAACTCAACAAGAGATTCAAAGAAGTGTTCACAGAGGAGACAGAAGGGACTCCAGAAAGACGGAGAGGTGGGGCACACCACCAAGTGCTGGACACAGTGCACACAACCGAGGAAGAAGTGAAGAGGCTTCTGAGTGAGCTAGATACCTCAAAGGCAATGGGGCCAGATAACATCTCCCCAAGGGTATTGAGAGAGGGAGCAGAGGCGCTATGTGTACCCCTAACAACAATATTCAATACATCTATCGAAACAGGGAGATTGCCTGAGGCATGGAAGACAGCAAATGTAGTCCCAATCTTTAAAAAAGGAGACAGACATGAAGCATTAAACTACAGACCAGTGTCACTGACATGTATAGTATGAAAAAATCATGGAGAAGATTATCAGGAGAAGAGTGGTGGAACACCTAGAAAGGAATGATCTCATCAACAGCAGCCAGCATGGTTTCAGGGACGGGAAATCCTGTGTCACAAACCTACTGGAGTTCTATGACATGGTGACAGCAGTAAGACAAGAGAGAGAGGGGTGGGTGGATTGCATTTTCTTGGACTGCAAGAAGGCGTTTGACACAGTTCCACAAAGAGATTGGTGCAAAAACTGGAGGACCAAGCAGGGATAACAGGGAAGGCACTACAATGGATCAGGGAATACTTGTCAGGAAGACAGCAGCGAGTCATGGTACGTGGCGAGGTGTCAGAGTGGGCACCTGTGACCAGCGGGGTCCCGCAGGGGTCAGTCCTAGGACCAGTGCTGTTTCTGGTATTTGTGAACGACATGACGGAAGGAATAGACTCTGAGGTTGTCCCTTTTTGCAGATGACGTGAAGTTGATGAGAAGAATACACTCGATCGAAGACCAGGCAGAACTACAAAGGGATCTGGACAGGCTGCAGAACTGGTCCAGCAATTGGCTCCTGGAGTTCAATCCCACCAAGTGCAAAGTCATGAAGATTGGGGAAGGGCAAAGAAGGCCGCAAACGGAGTACAGTCTGGGGGGTCAGAGACTACAAACCTCACTCAAGGAAAAAGATCTTGGGGTGAGTATAACACCAGGCACATCTCCTGAAGCGCACATCAACCAAATAACTGCTGCAGCATATGGGCGCCTAGCAAACCTCAGAACAGCATTCCGACATCTTAATAAGGAATCGTTCAGGACCCTGTACACCGTAATACGTTAGGCCCATATTGGAGTATGCGGCACCAGTTTGGAACCCACACCTAGCCAAGCACGTAAAGAAACTAGAGAAAGTGCAAAGGTTTGCAACAAGACTATCCCAGAGCTAAGAGGTATGTCCTACGAGGAGAGGTTAAGGGAAATCAACCTGACGACACTGGAGGACAGGAGAGATAGGGGGACATGAATAACGACATACAAAATACTGAGAGGAATTGACAAGGTGGACAAAAACATGATGTTCCAGAGATTGGACACAGTAACAAGGGGACACAGTTGGAAGCTAAAGACACAGATGAATCACAGGGATGTTAGGAAGTATTTCTTCAGCCACAGAGTAGTCAGTAAGTGGAATAGTTTGGGAAGCGATGTAGTGGAGGCAGGATCCATACATAGCTTTAAGCAGAGGTACGATAAAGCTCACGGCTCAGGAGAGTGACCTAGTAGCGATCAGTGAAGAGGCGGGGCCAGGAGCTCGGACTCGACCCCCGCAACCTCAACTAGGTGAGTACAACTAGGTGAGTACACACATGCACACACACACATGCACACACACACATGCACACACACACATACACACATGCACATACACACATGCACACACACACATGCACACATGCACACACACACATGCACACACACATGCACACACACACATGCACACACACACATGCACACACATGCACACACACACGCGCACACACACGCACACACACACGCACACACACGCACATGCACACACGTCAGGCCCATACTGGAGTATGCAGCACCAGTTTGGAATCCACGCCTAGTCAAGCACGTCAAGAAATTAGAGAAAGTGCAAAGGTTTGCAACAAGACTAGTCCCAGAGCTACGGGGATTGTCCTACGAAGAAAGGTTGAGGGAAATCAGCCTGACGACACTGGAGGACAGGAGGGTCAGGGGAGACATGATAACGACATATAAAATACTGCGCGGAATAGACAAGGTGGACAAAGACGGGATGTTCCAGAGAAGGGACACAGACACAAGAGGTCACAATTGGAAGTTGAAGACTCAGATGAATCAAAGGGATGTTAGGAAGTATTTCTTCAGTCATAGAGTAGTCAAGCCATGGAATAGCCTAGAAAGTGACGTAGTGGAGGCGGGAACCATACATAGTTTTAAGGCGAAGTATGATAAAGCTCATGGGGCAGGGAGAGAGAGGACCTAGTAGCAATCAGCAAAGAGACGGGGCCCAGGAGCTATGAATCGACCCCTGCAACCACAAATAGGCGAGTACAAATAGGCGAGTACACACACATGCACACACACATGCGCACACACACACACACACGTGCACACACACGTGCGCACACACGTGTGCGCACACACACGTGCACACACACATACATGCACACACACACACGTGCATGCACACACACACCTCAGTATGATAACAGTTCAGCAAGGATCACAACAAATACTTTAATATGAAGTGAAAATAATAAAAATGTGATGACACTAAGGAAAATTATACATGTGGCTCTGCTCTGAAACAACATTTATATATGAAACGCATGATTATTATACTGTACTACAAATACATACAACGACTAGTTTTTCATCTGATTATTGAAGAGGGTTACATAAAAACACTAATTTCTGTAATGATTCAGCTTGTGTGTCACTATTAAAAATTAAATGTAGTAACTGGATATAAAACAATGATTTCAATAATGCACATCAACAGTCAAAAGCTTAAAAATAATTTATAACAGGTATTGTAGAAATAATTATTCAATTAACCGACCAAGAATCACAGCAATGGTTCAGATAATCCAGGGGTTAAAAATGATCATGGTAGGGAAAACATCACAAGAAACATTATCATATACTGTCTCTGCTTTAATTTCTACTTCCATTATAAAAGTATAGTAACTATGTTATACTGAGAGCAACATCTTAATCTGTTTAGGAGTGTTGTCGTCATTAAGGTGCTTCGTTGTATATCTGCAAGGAAGAGAACATACTGGTAAAACAGACTAGCTAATATAGGCAAAGGTTTCATCTTTGTTGATCTGTTGAAGCTACAGGCTCAAAGTAAATATCCTACCTCAGCTCATTTCAAAGCCCAGTCCTATATATGGTTCACTACTATTACTATTCACTGCCCCAGGATACAATTCACAGCAGTTGGCTATCACTCAGGTATCCATTTTTTGTTTTGTGAACAGGGGGCAACAAGTTTAAGCCCAGTGTCTTGGCTTGCACAGAAATGAACCCAGGTCCTTCAGTTGTGAGCCAAAGATACTATCACTGAGTAACAATGTGGTAACATTGCTATTTCTACTGGAAATTTTAATGATGTTTTAAAATTACCATTCTTGCTTTGCAATTCTCTCTTGTTCCTTAAAATTATAAAACTAAAATTGAAGATCTGACAATATTCAATACAATATGCAGTTTAAAAAAGCAGTTTAAGGCATTTTATTGAAAAAGCATTTCATCCACCAGGTACTTTATCACTTCTCACAGAGACAAGCAAATATGGCATATATACAGTAGAGAAGGCACGAGGCGAGTTGTCGAACTGGGCATTGTGGCATCTCCTGTTGTAATGTGATTTAGCTAAGTTGAATCACTGAATGTTTTTAAATTATAAAGGGCCAATAGGCCAAGTGCAGTGCTCCTCCATATAGTTTTAAATAACAGCAGTATTATGTCTGGTGAGAATATGTTTTTTCTACAGTGCTTCTGAGATTATGAATAATTTTGAGTTCTGTGTGCTGGAGCTAGTAGCAGCACTCAGAGAAGATTCAAAGTACAGCCTATTATGTCTGACTCCTCCTTTGATAACTAATCTGGTGTCAGATTTTCATCAAATAATTTATCGTGTTCTAGTGAATAGCATTGCATTGTTCATGTCATCCTTCTGGCAGATGTATCTGTGTTCAATGATCCTTATGCTTAGTTTCCTCCTGGAAGTTTCACCCACATAAAACATATCACAACCTCCATATGGTATTATGTAGACACTGGCAGTGGTGTCCTTGGTTACAATTTTCTTTTTATCTAGGCCTTTTATCATAACAGAGGATATGTTGACAATTCTGATGCTGGCCTTGGCTAAGGATCCAGAGAGTTAACTGCTTGTGTTGTTGACAGGTAGGACTATGTAATATATCTGCTGGGATTGGAAGTTTATTTTGCACTGTGTAGTATATTCTCCTCTTTGCTTTTCCTGCAGTTAGTGATGAAGTGCTGTGGAGAGCTATGTTCAAGGAAGGTTTTACTGATGTAGTACAAGGGCACCACCAGAAGTTTTATGTATTAGGGACTAAAGAGTGGCAATCTGGTTGGAAGAGAAAGCTAGGGAAATTGTCTTGAAGCACTGTTATTACTATTTTTATTTTTTGAAGGGATTTGGGGACTTCAGCCCCCCCTTACTCTCCACTGGCACCACCCATGATGTAGCTGCATTCTTCATCAAGGACTGACTGAATAACTAATCCTACGACTTCTTAAACCATTAAAAGTCCTATGTTCTGTTCTGCTGCCATGACAAGATAGGTAGCTCAGTAAATTATTTATGTTAGTGTGTGTGTTAGACCTTGAAATTTACTTGGCTAAGTCCCATTACAACTGATATGTTACCTTGCCTATATTTTATACTTAATGATATATGATACAGAATTAATTAAGAGATAATTACCTGAGAGCATTAAGAAGATTTTCTGAACTCGATGCAGGCTGATCTTTTAACACTTTCACACATCCTTTCACCTGTAAGAGGAATATTTTATTAATGAAGTATGTACATTATAAGAAACTTATTCCATACAATAACCACTATAATTTTTGAAATATGTTTTAAGGACAAAGTCCATAGTAAAGGCAAGTTACTTGCTTGCACTGCATGAATCACAAGATTTACATGGAAGCCTATTCATGGGTCTAGGCCAGATATCTGTGAACCAGTTGGGAACCCATAACCGACTGGTGTATTCTTCTTAGAAGGCTCTGGTTATTACTGGAGTATGTAGGAGTCTATTTCTTAATTTTATTTTTAAACTGGTGCAAGATTTTTTTTTTTTAAATACACTGGCCATCTCCCACAGAGAGGATGATCCAGAAAAGAATCATTAGAAACATTTTCACCATCATTCACACTAACAACAATTTTCAACACGTACATTGCAACTGGGCAAATACCTGACGTATGGAAGACTGCAAACATAGTCCCCATTTTTAAGGAAGGAGACAGACACGAGGTTCTAAGCTACAGACCAGTGTCACTAATGTGTATAGTATGCAAAGTCGTGGAGAAGATTATCAGGAGTGGTGCAGCACCTTGAACAGAATAAGCTTATAAACGACAACCAGCACAGATTCAGAGAAGGAAAATCCTGTGTCACAAACCTACTGAAGTTTTATGACAAGGTAACTGCAGTAAGACATGAGAGAGAGAGAGGTGGGTAGACTGCATTTTCTTGAACTCCAAGAAGGCTGTCGACAGTTCCTCACAAGAGATTAGTGCAAAAGCTAGAGGATCAGGCATGCATAACAGGAAGGGCACTGCAATGGATCAGAGAATACATGACAGAGGCAACAACAAGTCATGGTATGTGACGAGGTGTCAGAGTGGGTGCTACGACAAGTGGGGTTCCACAGGGGCCAGTTCTAGGACCAGTGCTATTTTTGGTATGTGTGAAAGAAATAATGGAAGGGATAGACTTAGAAGTGTCCCTGTTAGCAGATGTGAAGCTAATGAGGAGAATTAGATCAGATGAGAATCAGGCAGGAATACAAAGAGACCTGGACAGGTTGTAAGCCTGGCCCAACAACTGGCTCCTCGAATATAACCCCACCAAATGTAAAGTCATGAAGATCAGGAAGGGCAAAGAAGACTGCAGACAGTGTCTGGGCTAGGTGGCCAAAGACTACAAACCTCACTCACAGAAAAGGATCTTGGGGCGAGTATAATACCGAGCACATCACCCGAGGCTCACATCAACCAGATGACTGCTGCAGCATATGGGCGCCTAGCAAACCTGAGAATAGGGTTCCGATTCCTCAGTAAGGAACTGTTCAAGACTCTGTACACTGTGTATGTCAGGCCCATACTGGAGTATGCAACACTAGTTTGGAACCAACACCTGGTCAAGCATGTCAATAAATTAGAGAAAGTGCAAAGGTTTGCAACAAGACTAGTTCCAGAGCTTCATGTTGATCTGCATGTCTTAGTATTCATGAATAATTGGCAACCACCTTAGCAATCATCTTGGATTTTTCAAATTCCTCAAGAGTAAAGGAGTGGCACTCATTGGATTGTCAATCTATGCAAGTCAGAGGTTTAATATCAGCCAAGAACAAGTTTTTTTAACACACCAGCTGTCTCCTGCTGAGGTAGTGTGACCTGAAAAAGAAGAAACACTTTCACCATCACTTGGTCTTGCCAGAGGCACACCAACACTACAGTTCCAATGCCCCTCCAAACTGCAATATCCTCCACTCCCTCTTCAGAGAGCAGGCACTGTACTTCCCACCTCCAGGGCTCAAGTCTGACTAACCAGACTATATTCATGCATAAGAACTAAAACTTATTACAATGGCAACTGGAGAATGGGAGGTAATTAGCTTTAATGCAAAGGGAAGGATAGCTCCAATTTCTTGAATCAAAAGCCTTTCAGCAACTTCAAAACGCTTCCCCTTTGAAGGGGAGTTTACGTTAACTACAAATGTAAACTATGTTTGACCTAATCAGCCATGTATGATACAGTATGGTCATTCCTCTTGTGCTCAATACACAAGTTTCATGACTGTCAGTGACCAGTACATCAGGAAAAAAATACACCCATAATTCACAGAAAAACTAATCCTAACTACTTACATTATATGTTCATTGAAAAGTTAGTGCTTCAGCACTGTTCTGGCTGTATCTGTCTTCCAGCAAGATAAATATCTGGAGGCAGTTATCCTGAGTCTTCAATGGAGATATAAAACTAAAATAATGGCAATTAATATACATTCACATTGATTACATGCAAAGATATTAAGATGATAAACTTACATCAACATTGGAAGCCTTTACAAAAGCACCCACTGGATGAACATGGTCATAAAGAATAATGAGTGCAACCATGACCCTTAAGATGAAGAGTTTTTGTCTCCTCACGTCGGAATCTGGCTATTAATTCTCTGAAATAAAAGAATCCGATAAAGGTTTGATGGTCACAGTCTGTTACTTAAAACAGCTATGTAATTAAAAAAAATCCTCTATTTTATAAAGGATTCTTAAAATTTTTTTAGCAGTCAACCCTAGTAATTTATGCACTGTACAATGCTATACATAATAGCTAAAAAGCTCTGATAATCCTGGCAACAGTAAATGATCTGAGTATAGTACAACAATTTTGCTTTTCTTTCGCACTTATACAGTGGACCCCTGCATAACGATCACCTCCCAATGCGACCAATTATGTAAGTGTATTTATGTAAGTGCATTTGTACGTGAATGTTTGGGGGTCTGAAATGGACTAATCTACTTCTCAATATTCCTTATGGGAACAAATTCGGTCAGTACTGGCACCTGAACATACTTCTGGAATGAAAAAATATCGTTAACCAGGGGTCCACTGTATATTGTTTTTCCTATATGTATCAGTCTTAAGCTTCCTCTGCAAATTATTGAAGTTTAGAACAGTGACTGCCAACCCATAAGCCTTGGACCCCTGGAGGGTCTGAGTTATTCCATTAAGCATTACCGAGTTTGTCATAATGCGTTTTCAAATTTTCTGAAGCTGAAAAGGGATTGCCATACTGAAAAAAGTTGGGAGTCACTGGTCAGAGGAAATAAACTAGATGCTGCATTATGTGCATGTACAGTTTATCTTTAAGGTAATTAAGATTTGTAAGATGCAAGACAGGCAAATCAACAATACTCACGGATTTTCCAACATTCTTTGGCAGACTTTAGCCATAGTACCTAGAGTTTCTGTTGTGTTTTCTAAAGGAATCTCCTTGTGCTGTTGTAAATGAAAAATAAAATTGCAGTGATAAAAAAGAACAGTAAACTTACCCCTTACTTCAAATTACAATACATAGAGGTAGACTCACAAGAAGCTCATTCAACCTGCCTTTTTGTCATAATACTATCTCAAAAGTGAAACCAAATACAGGTAAATAGTTGAAGTGTAAAAACTGAAGAGTACTCTCATAAATTTAAATTTTAAAATCTCATCACATGACATACAAGTGGTCTGTCTTCCACAGACACAACCACTTTCAATGTTATCCTCGTATCCTACAAGGCACCTCCCAAAACAAATGTAGTCTAACCTGCCGCCTACACACCTAGACAGGAAACTTTTAGAATCTTCTAGCACAGAATTCCATATTGTTGGGTCTAAGATTAATATATCAAAAAGATCTGTACCTATTATGTGCCTATGCATTCTTCAAGATAAGTTTTGAAACTGGATTAATATTTGTACTAAATGTCTAATCATTGAAAATGTTTTGTATGCCAATTAAATTTAAACTTTAGAACCAGACAACACATACTCCAAATTTTCTAGAACATAACTAGTGCTTCTTGTGAGGATCAACTACATAATACATTTAATTAGTTTTATCTTATTTGTAAAATAACATGAAACTTAATAACTTTAAAAAGTAAACAGATTTAACACATTTTAAGTATTACACTACTGTACCTAAGTATTACACTACTGTACCTAAGTATTACATTACTGTATTTATTTTCTTCATAAAACAGGACACAAAACATTCATTACCTCAGTAACAAATTTGGAAGTAGCTTCACTAAGGATTTTGAGCATCGGAGTGGAATTGGCATAAAAGAGACTCATTTTATTTGCCAGTTGATGGTCTATTGTTACATCATCTTCGACAGTCTCCATACCATTGTGTTCAATCTTGAGACGCATGACGGTGCGACGGTAGTAACTAAAATCATTCTGGATGGCTGGGGTTGTCATCTACAGGAGGAGCAGACACAACCAAAACACTTTAAAAATAGCAAATAAGGGATGCTATCATATTTCTAGGCAATGTGAAAAAATAAATACTCAATGAAAGCCTGGTTCCCTAAAAATGTTGTAAATAAAGCAGACACACAGGAAAACCTCATTCAAACATTTGTTTAGTAAATCAGTTGCCAAGAGAGGAAGTGCAACCCAATATTCTCTTGAACACACTTTCATACATACACTAAAAGCATAACTCTGCTACTGAAGATATAAATATGTACTGTAGTTAATTACAAAGAGGGAAATTGCTGCCACTATCAATTCATAAGCCCATCTACATATTAGTATCAAGAATTAAGTAGAAGTGTAAACTGAAAAGGGCCCAGAGTATTAATAATCAATAAATACATTTAAATCCCTTCTCCTGTATAAATTACTAAATTTAAAAAGAAATTCTTTTGTATTTCTTTTTCAGTCACCCTGCCTGGGTGGGATATAGCTGATTCCTTAAAAATAAAAGTACATTTACTGTGATATCAACAATTTTTAAACATAAAAAGAATATATCCTTTACCTTAAGTTCATCAAATTTAAGAGTAAATTCAAGTATTTCAGCAAACTGTTTGACCAGTGCTTGCTGCGTTTCCAGATGCTGAGTTGGAGATATCTCTGGCCCACACAATTCTGCTAGAATACGTGGAACGATCATCTCTGTAAATATATTCTTTTATTAAAAAAAAAAAAAAAAAAGACCTGCTTTATTTTCTGTTTCTTATGACTCCATCAACCCCTAAACTGTCCAAACGTAGATCTACGTTCACACACGTAGCGCTCTGAATGTAGATCTACGTTCAATTTTACATTGTTTATGTAAAAAAAAAAGTAGATCTACGTTCGGAGTGCTACGCATGCAAACATAGATCTACGTTTGGACAGTTTAAGGGTTAATGTAGCAATGGTGCTTCACTCAGCACAATGCTTTCCACAGCATTAACAATGCATAATTAGTAAAAGTAAAAAAAAAAAACTCAAAGTTAGTTAAAGGTCCTGATTTTATGTTTATATTGGCAGTTTGGAGGGATATGTTGTGTATCTCTATACGTATATGCTTCTAAACTGTTGTATTCTGAGCACCTCTGCAAAAGCAGTGATAATGTGTGAGTGTGGTGAAAGTGTTGAATGATGATGAAAGTATTTTCTTTTGGGGGATTTTCTTTCTTTTTTTTTTTTTTTTTTTTTTTTTTTTTTTTTTTTTTTTTTTTTTTTTTTTGGGTCACCCTGCCTCGGTGGGAGACGGCCGACTTGTTGAGAGAAAAAAAAAAAAAAAAAAAATACATATGATAGAGTGGATAGGGGAGCAATGTGGCAGATGTTGCAAGTATATGGAATAGGTGGTAAGTTACTAAATGCTGTAAAGAGTTTTTATGAGGATAGTGAGGCTCAGGTTAGGGTGTGTAGAAGAGAGGGAGAATACTTCCCAGTAAAAGTAGGTCTTAGACAGGGATGTGTAATGTCACCATGGTTGTTTAATATATTTATAGATGGGGTTGTAAAGGAAGTAAATGCTAGGGTGTTCGGGAGAGGGGTGGGATTAAATTATGGGGAATCAAATACAAAATGGGAATTGACACAGTTGCTTTTTGCTGATGATACTGTGCTCATGGGAGCTTCTAAAGAAAAATTGCTAAGGTTATTGGATGAGTTTGGGAGTGCGTGTAAAGGTAGAAAGTTGAAAGTGAGAATAGAAAAGAGTAAGGTGATGAGGGCATCAAATGATTTAGATAAAGAAAAATTGGATATCAAATTGGGGAGGAGGAGTATGGAAGAAGTGAATGTTTTCAGATACTTGGGAGTTGACGTGTCGGCGGATGGATTTATGAAGGATGAGGTTAATCATAGAATTGATGAAGGAAAAAAGGTGAGTGGTGCGTTGAGGTATATGTGGAGTCAAAAAACGTTATCTATGGAAGCAAAGAAGGGAATGTATGAAAGTATAGTGGTACCAACACTCTTATATGGGAGTGAAGCTTGGGTTGTGAATGAAGCAGCGAGGCGGCGGTTGGAGGCAGTGGAGATGTCCTGTCTAAGGGCAATGCGTGGTGTAAATATTATGCAGAAAATTCGGAGTGTGGAAATTAGGAGAAGGTGTGGAGTTAATAAAAGTATTAGTCAGAGGGCTGAAGAGGGGTTGTTGAGGTGGTTTGGTCATTTAGAGAGAATGGATCAAAGTAGAATGACATGGAAAGCATTTAAATCTGTAGGAGAAAGAAGGCGGGGTAGGGGTCGTCCTTGAAAAGGTTGGAAGGAAGGGGTAAGGGAGGTTTTGTGGGCGAGGGGGCTTGGACTTCCAGCAAGCGTGCACGAGCATGTTCGATAGGAGTGAATGGAGACGAATGGTATTTGGGACCTGACGATCTATTGGAGTGTGAGCAGGGTAATATTTAGTGAAGAGATTCAGGGAAACCGGTTATTTTTATATAGCCGGACTCGAGTCTTGGAAATGGGAAGTACAATGCCTGCACTCTAAAGGAGGGGTTCGGGATATTAGCAGTTTGGAGGGACATGTTGTGTATCTTTATACGTATATGCCTCTAAACTGTTGTGTTCTGAGCACCTCTGCAAAAACAGTGATTATGTGTGAGTGAGGTGAGTGTTGAATGATGAAAGTATTTTCTTTTTTGGGGATTTTCTTTCTTTTTTAGGTCACCCTGCCTCAGTGGGAGACTGCCGACTTGTTAAAAAAAAAAACATTTTTTTTATGATATACATTGTAAATCCTTCCCCTCATCATGAGACAAACAGACAGACAAGAGCCAATAGAACTCTCACTCTCTCTAAATAGAAAGAAATGGTTATTTTTAGTTGCACTGAAAATGAAAACATTGCATATCAATACTAAAAGTATGAAGAACAAAAATCAGTATGATCACAAAGCAAAAACAGTTTCAGCACAAAAAAAAAAAAACATGTATAGTAGCAAGACACATAAGAATAGATAAATACAGTGTATAAGAAAATATTGGCCTCTAAAAATCATACCAAAATCAATTATGAACATTTTACAGTACATATATACAGTAAGGAGCTTTTAGAAAGGAAGTTTTCATTGCTTTCATAGATTTAGAAAAGATATATGATAGGGTGGATAGGAGAGCAATGTGGTAGATTATGCAAGTGAATAAAATAGGTGGTAGGTTACTGAATGTTGTCAAGAGATTTTATGAGGATAGTGAAGTTTAGGTTAGAGTACGTAAGAAGGAGATTATTTCCCAGTAAAAGTAGGCCTTAGCCAGGGATGTGTGATGTCACTATGGCTGTAACATTTATAAATGGGGATGAAAAAGAAGTGAATGCTAAGGGGCTGGGTAGAAGTGTGGGATTAAAATATGCAGAATCTAGTACATCTGTGAAGAAGGCTAGAAGGGTAGACAATGTTCGAGGGTGTATAAATCTGTAGTGGAGGGAAGGCAGGGTTTGATAGGAGGGTAGGCAAATTGTTGTTGGGACTTGTCGAGTTATTGGAGTGTGAGCAAAGTAACACATTGTGAAGGGATTCAGGGAAACTGGTTAGTCAGATTTGAATCCTGGAGGTGGGAAGTACAGTGCCTGCCCTTCTGAAGGAGGGGTGGTGATATCTAGTCTGGAGGAGTATCTGAACTGTAATATCAGTGAGCCTCTAGCAAGACAGTGATGGAATGAATAATGGTGAAAATGTTTGTTTCAGGTCACCCTGCCTCAGTGGGAGACAAAGTATTAAAAAAAAAAAATACAATAAACACAATTAAGGTGACCTCAAAGAAGATACTGAAGCTAGCAGACCAAACTGGTAGACCATATACAGTAGTTAATAAGACAGCATTCAAAAGAATCTACAATACTCAGTATGTAGACAAAACAAGTGGAAAGAAAGGAGACTGAATAATACATGTATTCATAATTCCCAATTATATATGAAAAAATTTAGTATTTTGATGTTAAACTGGGCTATTAAGTAGGATTTTTAAGTCATACAAAAATTACAATAGCTGACCTATATCATTGGAGAAGAGGTAGAACTGCTTAAGTTTTTGTACGAGTGGTGTGACCATCTCCCATGCTCTTCTCTGGTAGTCATCCCCAGGGTCACTGATGGCCTGCAACATGCCATGGAAACATTTTTTAAAGTAACTATTTATGAACATATATTATCTGTAGTACTGTACCCCTCTGAAATTAGTTATGTGCATTAACAGAAGCAGATCTTTGCCTGTGGTGTCTTGTCATTATTAAGTATATGCAGTATTGCATTGTTTAACATTTGCAGTGAGTATCATACACCATCTCACCTTCTAAATTCATTCCAGCCAATTATGACAATCTACAAACTTGTGCTGTGCTGTACTTTCTAATGTGTTTTCTGCATTTTTTTGTAACAGAGTACTACAGTATCTAGAATTGTTACCTCTGACAGTGGGGATTATTGCAACATGTAATTAGCTGTTGAGAGCAAGGACATCTGAGATTAGAGTTTATAAAACTGAACAAACACTACGACATGTTTATTAAAAAACTTTCAGTCCTGTGACCATAAACAAGGTCCCTGAACCGAAACATTTCTACTAAATAGGGCCCGAGTGTTTGCTTACATGTCTTTTTTTTTTTTTTAAAATTGCTATCGATTACCAAGGTTTACACCACATAAGATTAATTAACAGTCTCTATCAAGTTACAGTAAGAATGGTGACCAAACATTCCAGGAGAGAATTTTCTGGAAGGTTTCACTGTATATAAAGTTGAGAAAACCAAATTGGGGATTTTCCCACAGGATATATACTGTACATCAAGAGGTGTAGGTCTCTTGGTGTATATATGCCAGGAGTTAACTTAATCCCTATTTTTGGAATTTTAAGTATTCTTGCCTGGTGGTGAACATAATACGTATATGCAACATCTATTATGTTCGTTAACCAATCATGAGAACGGTCAGTCAGTATATACTGTACAATCAGCCAGTCAATGAAGAAGTCTGAAGCAACACCAAAGATACATTGTAATACTGAGACAGTACAGTGTAGTACTGAGTACAGTGTAATACTGAGACAGTACAGTGTAGTACTGAGTACAGTGTAGTACTGAGACAGTACAGTGTAGTACTGAGACAGTACAGTGTAGTACTGAGACAGTACAGTATATTAAACTGATCATGCAGTGTTGTGATTATCTTGGTGTACAACACTTGGAAGAGCATGGCATGGTGGAGGGAGCATGGAGGGTGTAGTGGAGGGAGCATGGAAGGTGTAGTGGAGGGAGCATGGAGGGTGTAGTGGAGGGAGCATGGAGGGTGTAGTGGAGGGAGCATGGAGGGTGTAGTGGAGGGAGCATGGAGGGTGTAGTGGAGGGAGCATGGAGGGTGTAGTGGAGGGAGCATGGAGGGGATAGTGGAGGGAGCATGGAGGGTGTAGTGGAGGGAGCCATTGGGGGATAGTGGGGGAAATAGGAGAGTGAAGTGGAGGGTGTTATGGAGGGATAATGGGGGGTGTATGGAGGGATCATGGTGTAGCGGAGGGATCATGGTGTAGCGGAGGGATCAGGTTTTAGCGGAGGGATCATGGTGTAGCGGAGGGATCATGGTGTAGTGGAGGGATTTATGTGTAGCGGAGGGATCATGTGTAAACGGGGGGATCATGGTGTAGTGGAGGGATCATGGTGTAGTGGAGGGATCATGGTTTTAGCGGAGGGGTCATGGTTTTAGTGGAGGGATCATGGTGTAGCGGAGGATCATGGTGTAGTGGAGGGGTCAAAGGGGTAAATGGAGGGGTCATGGTGTAGTGGAGGGATCATGGTGTAGTGGAGGGATCATGGTGTAGCGGAGGGATCATGGTGTAGTGGAGGGATCATGGTGTAGTGGAGGGATCATGGTGTAGTGGAGGGATCATGGAGGGTATAAAGTAACACCTAGGTAGCAGCAAGGTTTGAAGGTTGGCGCCACAGTGTTGGTGAGGAACAAAGGCTATTGACCAGCAAGTTGCCACTACCACCACCACGGTTGTCTTCATGCAAGAACAACAAGCCAGCACCTACCTCTACACTCCACCCACCATATATACCACCACCTCTACACTCCACCCACCATATATACCACCACCTCTACACTCCACCCACCACATATACCACCACCTCTACACTCCACCCACCTTATATACCACCACCTCTACACCCACCCACCAATTACCACCACCTCTACACTCCACCCCCCTTTATATCCCACCACCTCTACACTCCACCCACCATATATCCACCACCCTAACTCCACCCCCATAAAAACCACCACCTCTACACTCCACCCCCATATATACCACCACCTCTACACTCCACCCACCTAATAACCACCCCCTTTCTACACTCCACCCACCATATACCACCACCTCTACACCCACCATATATCCCCACCACCCTACACTACACCCACCAATATACCACCCCCTCTATACTACACCCACCATATATACCACCCCCTAAAAAAAACCCAAAACCATAATACCACCATTTCCCACACTCCCCCCCCCATATAAAACCCCACCTCCACCTCTACCTCACCCACCATATATAAAAAAACCCTTTAAATCCCCCCACCTATATACCACCCCCTTTTCACTCCCCCCCCATAAAAAAACCCCACCTCTACACTCCCCCACCATTTTAAAACCCCCACCACCACTCCCACCATATCACCACCACCTCTACACTCCACCCACCATTAACCCCACTACCACCCCCCCACCATTTACCCACCCCCCTTTACACTCCACCCACCATAAACCACCATCTCACACTCCACCCACCATATATACGACCACCCTACACTCCACCCCCATATATACCCAAACCACCTCTACACCCACCAACAACCACCAATCTACACTACAACCCACCATATAACCACCACCTCTCACTCCACCCACCATATTCCCACCATCTTACACTCCCCCACCAATTACGACCACCCTCCCCCACCCACCCCCATATATACCACCACCCCCACAATCCACCCACCAAAACCCCACCTCTACACCCACCCCCAAAATACCACCACCTACACTCCACCCACCATTATCCCACCACCCTACCTCCACCCCCATATATCCCCACCACCCCACCCACCATATATACCCCCACCTCTACCCCACCCACCATAGACAAACCACCTCTACACCCACCCACCAATATACCACCACCTCCACCCACCAAAAAACCCCCAAACCTCCACCCACCTTTTAAAACCACCACCTCTACACTCCACCCCAATATGTCACCACCTCTACCCTCCACCCCCAAAACCACCCCCCTCCCCCCACCTTTATATACCCCCCTTTAAATGCCCTCATCCCTCTTCTCATAAATCTTACGATCAATTAGGCTCTTCCTCGTTGAACGCTCAGCAATGTTTACAACATGAACAATGGTATACGTACACTTTATTAAATTTCAAAGATCACTGGGCCTAAAATTACTTAAAAATTTTGATTATTTATTTAGGTAAAAGAAAATACTTTTAACAAAAAAAACCCATACATAAAACGGTGAAAATTTACCCAAGAAATCCTTCCAAAAGAGCAAAAAAGCTATTATATTAATAAAAAATAAATAATAAAAATAATAATCTTAATTTCCATTGGGGGTTCTTGTAATTATTATTATTTAAATTTAAAAAAGTTCATTATCCACTAACTGCCTTCAAAAGTCAAATTATTATTATCAAATTTAAAACTTAAACATACTCATACAGCGCTGCTGCCAAAAACCTTTGTCTTAACTTAACCCACTCAGGAAAAGCTCCCCCGGACCTATAAAATGAAGTACAGAACGGTACCTAATAAGAAGCTACAAACGGTCCCCAATAATGAACTACAGAAGGGGACCTAAGAATGAAGCACAGAAGGTACCAAAGGGAATGAACACAAACGGTACCAAAAATGAAGCTAAAAACGTCCCAATGAATAAATTTACAAAAGGGTACCTAATGAAGAACTACAGAACGGTACCAAAAGAATGAAGCACGAAGGGTACCTAATAAATGAAGCTACAGAACGGTACCAATAATGAATCTACAAACGTACCAAGAATAAAGCTACAGAAGGGTACCTAATAAATGAAGCTACAAACGGTCCCTAATGAAGCTACAGAACGGTCCCAAATGAATGAAGCACGAAGGGTACCTAATGAAGTACAGAAGGGTACCAATAATAACTACAAAAGGGGCCCTTTAACGAATGAAGCACGAAGGGTCCCTAACGAATGAAGCTAAGAACGGTACCAAACGAATGAATCTACGAACGGACCTAAAAAATGAAGCTACAGAAGGGTACCAATGAATGAAGCACAGAAGGGCCTAATGAATGAAGCTACAAAAGGGCCCAAAAAAATGAACACAAAGGGGACCTAAAAATGAACACAAACGGTACCTAAAATAAACCCCACAGAACGGCCCCAAAATAATGAACCACAGAACGGTACCTAATGAATGAAGCACAAAAACGGTACCTAATAATGAAGCAACAAACGTACCTAAGAATGAAGCAACAGAACGGAAAACCAAATAATAAAGGCAAAAAAAGGTACCTAATGAATGAACAACAGAACGGTACCAAATAAATAAAGGGACAGAACGGTACCAAAAAAAGCTACAGAACGGTACCTAATGAATGAAGCTACAGAACGGTACCTAATGAATGAAGCTACAGAACGGTACCTAATGAATGAAGCTACAGAACGGTACCTAATGAATGAAGCTACAGAACGGTACCTAATGAATGAACTACGAACGGTACCTAAGAATGAAGCACAGAACGGTCCCTAATGAATGAATCAAAAGGGTACCTAAGAATGAATACGAACGGTACCTAATAATAAATCTACAGAACTTACCTAATGAATAAAACTCAGAAGGGTACCTAATGAATAACACAAAACGGAAACCTAAGATGAAGTTTCAGAACGGTACCTATAAGAAGCTCCAAAAGGAACCAATAAGCAACAGAACGGTAAAAAAAGAATGAAGCTACAAAACGGAACCAAAAAATAATCTACAGAACGGAAACCTAATGAATAAGCACAAACGTCCCTAATGAATGAAGCACGAACGGTACCAAATGAA